TACTTTTCAAGTTTTCTAAAACTACCACATATTAATTAATTAAAAAATATATTAATCTTAAGAAATAAAACTATGAGATAGTTAATAAAAGTGTGTAATGTATATGAAAAGTAGCATGTAAAGTTATAAAATTTTGCCTATGTTTACAATTATACAATATGCCTCTCTAATAACATTTCATAAATCATATGCCACAAAACACTCTAGTTTCTCAAGAAGTTATAGGAACATCTCTGAAAGAGAATATGGTCAAAAATATTTAGGAAACGAATACAAAGTTAAAAACGGAATTAAAACTTTATTACAGATGTATCTGATTTTAAATTCAGAGCCCATATTCTGATGAGAAAAATTGAGTTTGAATGTCTAGTGAGATACATGTTATGTTTAATGCAGTCATTATTTGGAAATGAGGGACTGGATAAGTTATTTCACCTCTTTCAGCCTCCTCCATGCCTGCTAGAAGAGTAAAGCAATCTTCTGAGGTTGTCACATGGTCTGAGGAAGACACTGCGCATGGTGTGAAGGTAGTTGATACCATCTGGCCATTGTTCTCAGCAGTCTTGGAATGGCCATCTGATCCCCTGAGAGCACATCATCCCTTCATTTCCAGCCAAGAGCTCTAACTAGAATTGCTGGGTCTCATTGGAAAGTTGTAGAAGACACCACATTTGACTGATCTGGCTTTAATCAAGTACACATTTCACCCATCAACATTTTGGACCATGGGGTGGGAGTGGGGAGCAGAAACACAAGCATTAGTCCCCACTTGTTTATAACAGGAGAGGTCTCAGAGAAGAGCTAATGGATACGACAAATCTCCAAAGAGCGTCCCTACAAAGATCACTCATATAGATTCCCACAGGTGGACTTCATTTACCACTTTAATAATAACTGTCACTCCACAACAAGTTATCAAACATCTAATTATGCACAAAACACTTCTGTTTTAATGATTTACATGTTTTCATCTGCTATACTGGAAACTAGCTGATTGACACCTCTATTTTTTGAAGGTGGACCATTCCTTCTAGCATGAGACATTTTTCCCACAGCCCTTCATGTGGCATTGGCAGTTCTCTGCTACCATTAAAAAACTACAAATAATCCCTTTGTTTTCCCAAAATTAATTATCTAGCATTTCTAATCTGCTCAAGTACATAGTTTTCTATCAGAAAACAGGAAATTAAATAATAAAACCAAAAAGCTTAGAGAAATTTTACAAAATATACTCATGTTGACATCACAGTTAAAGTTTACAGTACTCAATATTCAATTTTTCCTACTATATTTGAAGTTGATAGCACTCTTAGAAATGGTTTAGAATTAGAAGACGGTGCACCACAGAATAGAATACAGGCTTTAGGCTCACACTTTGACTGCTTTTTGACATTTGACCTTTGGCAAACTACTCAACTTGCCTGGGCCTCAGTTTCCTCTTACAAAATGGTAATAATAAAACTTAGATTAATTAAGTGTGTGTACTCAATAATGCATGATACAAAGTACACTCTACAAATCAAAACAACTATCCACAGAAAACTGCGTTCCACCTGCAGACGCCCCGTTACCACAGACTTAGTATCAGAGACAGGTCTAGGCAGCCTGCTACAATCTGCACTGCCACACGCTGCCTGGGACAGACAAGTTTCCAAGCTCTGACCACAGGCTCTCATGGAGTCTGACTGCAGTTTCTGCTCTTAGGTTACTCAGTACCATTTCACTGGGTATTTATATTCAAAAATCAATGCCGCTGTGCCCACCAATAATGCTGAAGTAACATCAATCCAAGAGAACAAAAATTAAAGTGACATATTCACTCCCTTGCTTTACACCAGCAGCTTAGAATGATATAGTACTGCCCATGTTCCCAACAGAATTAAAAGCATAGGGTTTATAATTTTCTCTATTTACAAAATCTTTTATGTGGGGTCAGAGAGGGAGGGGCATCTATGCCTGTCATTTATTACCTAAACAAAACATTTATTCCTTTCCCAAGTATTTTCTCCAGGTCCTACTCTGTGCCAAGTACTCATCAAACATGAAGCAAATACTCCATAAAAGAGAGCTATGGCTTGCCCTCACTGAGTTTACCAGTCTCGTGAAGAATACAGATCAGCAAACAGCATTTCCATCATATTTTAGGGCAATCAGTAAATTAAGATTTATTTTCTAGCTTTCTCCACTTTTACATAAATTGAAAACTCTGCAGAAAAACTTAACGCCAAATGCCTTTTTTGAAATACACCTCAATCAGCCCTATTACTTACATCGATACTTCTTTTTGTCTCCATTTGTTTGTTATGGTCTTTCTCAAAATAACAGGCAACCAACAAAGGGTAGTAGTTTCCATTTTGACTTTACTTTTACAAACATTTTTAAGAGCTCAATGAACAAACTACAGCATAAACCAAGGTGATTTCGTTCACTTCTTATGTGCAGATTTAAATTAAAATTACAGAACACTCCTGATGTTATAAATCTATAAATTCTTCACAGAATCCACATACCATAATACCAAACATGAGGTAGCCATTCAAATTAACTTGATATGCCCAAAGTATGTTTAGCTTTTAATAAAACTAAAATTGTAATCCGTAGCCAAATTTTTGGTGTCTTATTTTAATACTGTGTCTTGCATGTATATGTATAACCTATAAGCTTTTTAAAATTTCAGTAAACAGTGCAAATTGAAAATAAAATGTGTGAACAGCTTCTACTTGTGGTTAAGAACAAAGCAGACAAGAGAGAATACGGACACACCAACTACCAGAGAAACAAAAAACCATCTCATAGTGTTAAGACAAAACTTAACAATCATTAACATTAATTGATCATTTACTATGTGCCAAAACTGTTTAAGTGCTTTATGACTAATTTAATTCTCACAACCACTTTAAGAGATAAGTGACATTACTAGTTCCATTTTATACACCACGAAAGGTTTAACGAAATTTGTCCAAGTTCACAAAGCTGCTAACTGACAGAACCGAGACTCAAACCTAAGCAACCTGGTCACAGAGCTCTCTCTCCTAACCATTCTGTTCTTCTGACAAAGACAGCAGGAAATGTTCTTCAGGTCACAAATTTAACCCCAATCGGAAAGAGAATTCATGATGTCTCCCTACACATGTCTAAGCTCTTCCCCCGTAGTCTGAGTGCCTTGACTACAGAATTAGCAGATGCTAAGGAGAGGGAGAAACATGTTCTGTTAACTGACTGATAAGAATGACTTGTTTGGGCCGGCCGGGTAGCACGTTGGTTACGAGCTGGCTTGGGACGCCAGAGGGCCCCGGTTCGGATCCCACATATGAGGGCCAGTAACACTGCCCTCCACAGCTAAGATGCTGAACAACAGCTCAACTTGGAGCTGGGCTACCATTAGTCGATGGCGTAGGCTGCAACCCCTGCTGCAGTGGGTTGCCATGGGCTACCATGTGTAGCCAGCAGCCAGCAGCCGCCTTGATTGGCTGTCCAGAGCCGGCAGCCGATCTGCCTCGCCTGGGAAGAGCGCAATGATGGTGCCAACTTGGGCCAGTGAAGCAACGTCCTCCACAACTAGACTGAAGAACAAAAGGACAGCAACTTGTCTGTTCCCCTTCCCCCAATTCCCCAGCGCTGTTCCCATCCCCCAATTCCCCAATAAAAATCTTAAAAAAAAAAAAGAACGACTTGTTTAATTGATGGACACACTAACCTTTTGGTGAAGATTAGTCTTCATCTCACTGTCCTAAGGCTATTAAATTAGCACTACTTAGCATAAGTACAAACATGGAAGGCAAAACGAAAACTGAGTGGCAATCAATATAAGATTGCCACCCAGCTGATTCAGAATCTAGAACTTAATTTTTAAAATCCTCATGAAAAATGTATTAAATACAACATCTAAATATACTCAAGGGGACCGCACTGCTTGCCTCAAAGTATCTAAACTCAGGTGACAAGAACAATTTATAATAAGATTAAAAGATAATATCAAAGATGACTTTTTACCCCAACTTCTTAGCTACTACATCATTGTTTGTCTGTAGGGAGAGAAAATGACTGAGATCCATCCAGTCAGCTTATAGGCGAGTTTAAATGAAATGAGGTGGGAAGCGCAGAGAGGCAGCATATCAAAATGAAATCAGGACACCTTTTAGGTCTGGTGTCTGGTGTTGGTTCCATGAGCTCTACAAAGTGATCTGATCGGTGTATACGCTCCAACATAAGCTGACCACAGGCCTATCACTTGATAGCCCTTTTAAGACAATATGTTAAAAACAAAAATCCTTCCTAACAATAAGTTTAATCTTTAGCAATCAGAATCTAGGTTATTTTTTAATTCAAACATTTTTTACACAAAGAGAAATTCAAAAGTATGCTGCCTCATAGTATCACTCGATTAAAAAAAAAACTAGTAAAATAAAACCTTTCTAAAAACAATATTTAAAGTAGTTAGGTCTTTATTAATTAAACTAGCAAAACAAAAACTAGCAGGAGGAAAACAACAGAAAACAGAAACAATACACTTTGCAGTAAAATGTCTAGAAAACTTATGATTAATATAAAAATGTTGGTGAAATCCAAAATGAGTTTCATATGGCTAGTTATAAAGCCTTCTTTTTCTGTTTATTAACTCTCCCGATGATATGACATACATTCACAGTTATTCATTTGACTGTTCTCATTTAAATCTTATCAAAAAAAATTTTAAATATTTCAAATTTTTAGTTACATATTTTTATATGGAAAACAGGATAGTCTAACTCCCAAATTGGCAGCTTCTTAAGTATGAATACCAAAGTAAGTTAACATGATGGACTGCATGATACTTTAGTTGGCTAAATTAAAAATGGTAATTAACAAGGCAAAAATACCTTTAAGACGTTCAAAAGTTTGTGACATGAAATAATGCATATCTAGTGCTTTACACACCAAAGATCAGTATATTTTATTAGAGTGCAAAAGTGTAAGTAAATTATTCACGTAAAGACTTGTCTACATTTTTAAGGACTTACCTTCTTTTTATCCCTCATTGAGCCTTTGCCTCGGACCATTATTTTACATCCTGTTTCTGCTTCAAGCTGTTTAGCTGTAAGTCCTCTAGGTCCAAGGATTCTCCCAACAAAATTAAACTGGAAAAAAACAAAGGCACCATACATTATTCACTTGCTTGACTTTATAGCTGAAATTATTTTTAAATATCTATTTACTTTCTCAAATGAAATTTTTTAATACTAAATTGAAATAAAATCAAGAGTTCTTATGAATTTCCTGTAAATTTTTTGGTTGGGGGATGGGGGTGGGAATTACAATAGCTTATTGCTTAGCATGAAATTTTCATACACACACACACACACACACACACACACACACACACACACACACTGAATGAGAAATACCACAATCTACCTAAAACAGGTACTAGACCGAATTGTCCATCAACATGAAATCTAAACCAGGGCATATTAAAGAGTGACAAAATCTTGGATGCCACCCAACAATGCAAATCTCTTCTACAAAACTCTTTGTAATGACAGTGTTCAGGGAACTGTTCATTATGTTAAATAGTAATTGCTTATTTTAACTAAAATCCTTGGGGAAAATTCCTTGTTATTTCTCTAACAAGTAAAGTTATACTTTCTCCAAAGCAAGTGGTCAGAGGTTGCACTTCTGGGTTGGCTGTCAGAACCTGATGGTCAAATTTGGACTCCAACCTCCACTAAATGTGTAAGTCTTGAAAGTATATATGTTTTCATCACACTCTTTGCAAAATTTTATATTTGTATCCTTATTTTCCTTTGTTTTTTCCATTTCTACCTTTAACTTATACTACTATTTCTGCAAGGAGGCTTAACTCTTTTCATGAATAAGACAGTAATAAAAATAACTATTAATAAAGAACCATTCTTCAACAGAATCTTCTAGTATTCATATACAGAAGTTTATTTTTTAGGGAGAAAAAAAAAGCCAATGTGAAGAAAAAAATTAACTCTGAATATTGAAAAATAAATTTTCCTCATTCACATGACATCTGCCTAAAAGACAGAAATAAGTTTCACCATCACTTCCACAAAAACCCATGAGTGGTTTATTTGTCCAATCAAATACGTAATGATTCTTATGCTTACGGCTTCCTATTTTTTGTGGTATTTGATCCACTGTTACGTCATTACACAAAAGTAATATGATAGAATTCACTGCTGTCAGGGCTTAAGAACCCAGGCACTGCTTCAATGGCTCTTTGCCTCCCGAAGCTGCTCACCAGGGTTGCCATACCTTATAAACGTGATTCCCATGCATACAGCTGGAAAAAAGCCCTTTTCCCTCAGGAGACTTTGATATAACTTTTCCCACCCCAAGTTAAGACTAATTGACTTTGATCCTGTAAACACTTGATCTAGCTCTACAAGACCCCAAATTCTGAAATTTGCCTGAACCATGTCTTCATATTCAAATGAAACATGTTTTATGACTAAGTTGAAATAAAATCAGGAGTCCTTATGAATTTCTTGCCAAGTTTTCGGGGGTAAGGGTTTTCCTGGTTCCTTAGCATATAGTACTTGACCTCTTTACCCAACCTAAACCCCTGCTGGCATCCATTTTAACAATGCACTTGCTTCCAACCTAGAATCTCTCCAATCTGAATAAAGTCAAGTTCTAAACTATGATTAAGTATTTAAACTCTGAAAGCACATAGATCCTAATTGGTACCCAAGCCCCAACACTAAATAATGGTTAGAGGTTTGAAAGTCACATCAAATAAGCCTCAATTATATAATGGAGGGAACACCTCCCATCTGGTAGAGCTGTAGTGAGGGCGGCAGGTGTGTACAGCACAATATTTACCAAAGGTCCAACACAAGGTTTGGCACCTAATGGACAATGGCTAGCCTACCAAAACAACTGGAAATCCACTTTTGGAAGCCTCGGCCCTCACTCAGCACCTGAGCTTAGAATGTCTCTGGAAGATGGTATGATCAGTAGCATGTTTGTCCTAGAGGACTCCAGAGAGACACTCAGACACTGAGTTCTGCAGAAAACTGGAAAGCAAAGGTGGAAATGACATACAGAACAACTGACCCATCCCTGCCCACAGAACGCCAACAGCCAGGCATCTAACTGGCAATTAACAGGAGTTTCTGTCTCTAGAAAAACTGAAACGCCCCAGAGAAATCAGTTTCATGTTCCAGCATTTGGCTCCCTTCTCAAAGGCTGACGCTTCAGGCCATCACCTCCAAATGAAGCCTGTGGTGGGCAAGCCCAGTTTGTGAAGAGAAGCTCCGCATTCAAATTTTCGGTGCTTCATACTTAAAGACTTGAGAAGGCTTCAATGTGAAAGAGGTGATACAAAAGGGAGAAAACAAAAAACAAGGGCAGGTGATTGCTCCTTCATGGAAAAGGCTGCTGGTAAAGAAGATACCTCCAAACATACCTCCTGTAGTAAATACCACTAAACTACTTTCTAAAATGGTTGCACACTTTACATCCCCAAAAGAGAAAAGAATTTGTTTTGATCCACTTCCTCTCCAACACCACTCACTGCCAATGGTTTTTATTTCAGCCATTCTGAAATAAAATTTGCGAAATGTTTAAATTAGCATTCTCCTGATTACTAAAAAAGGTCATCATTTTTTCATGCTACTGGCATTCAGACAGACTTTTTAAAGCACATTTGAAGTTTCCTATTTTTCTATTGTATTGTTTACCTTTTTCTTATCAATTTCTACTTCATGGTTACATGTGTAGCAAATACCATCCTGGAAGCCTTCTTGCTCTTTAATGCGACTGAATTAATTTGATTGACTTGAATTAAATTACATTGAATTTTCATGTAGCAAGCTACCAGTCTTCATGGTTAGTGTCTTCCAGGTCCTCTTGAAAGGAAGTCTTTCCCCACCCCAAGATCACCAAGGGATCCTTCTGTATTGACTTGCAGAACCTTTATTGTTATGCCTTTCTCATTTATGTCCAAAGTATACCAGGAATTGATGTCTGTGATGAGACAAGTTTTTTGTTTTTTTAATGTCACATGGATACCCTAAATCCTAGCACATTTCACTGAAAACACAATCCTTCTTTTTCAACTTCTCTACAGTACCATCTTGTCAAAAATAACATCTATATATAGATCAGTCTGTTTCTGGGCTCTTTATTTTGTTAGTTTAATCTATTTGTTTATCCTTGCTTTAATATCACACTATTATTTATTGTAACTTTAGAATAAACCTTGATATGCAGTAAGCAAGTTATTCCACCTTGCTTGTCTTTAAGAGTGTCTCAGCCATTCAAGGCCTTTTGTATTCCCACATAGGTTTTACAAACACCTGGTCAATTTCTAAAATACTACTTGCAATAATTTTAATTGGGATAGTCCCATAGTCTTTAAAACTAAGAACAGAGTGTAATTTCATTTGGTGAGGTGTTCTTTGATTTCTCTGAAGAATATAAAGCTTTTTTGATATAATATAAGCCTTTACTCATTTTTGTTAGATTTATTCCTAGACATTTTGGGGCTTACTTTTGCTATTGTTATATCATATTTTTGTTCCTTATATATGACCACATAATTAATTTTTATATATATCAAAACCTTATACCCAGCAACTTGTTTGTTCATTCTAAATTCTCATAATTTTTCAATAGGTTCTTTTGGATTCTTTAGGTAAACAATCACATCGCTTGCAAATTAGTACTGTTATATTATTTTTTCCTCTCAACCATATTTTTTTTCTTTCTCTTGCCAACCTTACCACACTGGCCAGCACACCTTGAGTTGAAAGTCAAACAAGTCCTTGACTTGTTCCAGATTTCAAGAATAAAGTTTTCAACAGTTCACCATAAAGTTTGAAGAAATCTGTACACTTTTTGTAGATATACTTCACCATATTAGGAAAATCCCCTTTGTTTTGTTAAGACTTTTTTTAAAATTACCAGTGGATGTTTCAGTTTATCACATTTCTTCATTTTTTGAAACAACCACAATATCTCTCCTTTATTTTGTTAATGTAGTAGATTACAACTATCAAATGATGAACCAACCTTTCATTCCTAAAACAAATTCAACTTGATCATGATGCATATCCTTTTTATAAATTGTCAGATTCAGTTTTCTAGCATTTTGGTGATTTTTTCTTTTAATTTATAAATGGACTTGGTCTGCAATTTTCTTTTCTCAAAATATAATTCTCAGGTTTTGGCATCAAGATTATTTTGGCTTAAAACCATGTTAGGGTGTATTTCCGCTTTTTCCATTCTCCGGATGGGCTTGTAGAAAACTGGTATTATTTCTTCCTTAAATATTGAATAGAAATCAATAGTGAGGTCACCTAGGTCTAGAGTTTTCCTCTGTGTAAAGAAGGTTCTAAATTATGGATTCAGTTCTTCAATTGAAATTTCCTATTCCTCTATATGTCAATTTTGGCAACCTGTTTTTATCTAGAAATATGCCCATGTTGTTTAAATTTTCAAATTTGTTGATATAAATCCTATGTATAATTTTTTTATACCTATAGGCTCTGTAGCGATGTCCCCTCTTTCATTCCTGATTTGTTATCTACGGTATGCCTTCCTTTTTTCTTGATCAGTTTTACACTCTTTACAGAGAATTTATTTTTGCTTTTGTTGATTGGGGTATACTGATTATAAAATTGGCCACCATTATCCACTCACCTAAAGGTATCTATTCCATCTGCAGTGTAAATTTACAGCTCTTCTCACCTCTGGAATCCGGGCCAATGAGCACTGACTTGCTTTCTAATACAATGTAGTAGAAAGAAGGATATCTGTTCTAAAAGCTAAAGTCTCAGTCTTATGTGTATCTGCTGTCTTAGAGCCCTATTATTCCCATGTAAACAAGCTCAGGCTAATTTACTGGAGAAGGAAAAACAAGTGATCCAGTCACCATCAATGTCCCAGCCCACAGCCAGGCAACTCATAAAACCAGAGCTGCCTAGCTGACGGCACATGCGGACCAGAAAAGCTGTCTTCTTGAACACAGCCTAAATGACCAGCCTGCAGAACAGAAGCATGAACTAAACAAATGGTGGTTGTTTTAACCTAAGTTTGTGGGGTAGCGAATTATAATGCGGCAATAGTCATCTGATACATTGATTCTCTTAATTTTGTTTTGTTT